TTTCCTTTTTTTGTTGAAGGATATTCGGGTTGTTTCCAAACTTCTTCTATGATTAATAGTGCAACAAAGAATCTCCTTATTAGAAATCATTTTGTACTTGTGTAAGTTGGCCTGTTGGATTGATGCCTTGAAGAAGAATCTTGCATTGATAGTCTGCTTTTCATCATTGTAACAAAATACTTGAAACAATCAATTTACAAAGAAAAAAGTTTGAGCTTGGTGCCCGTGTCTCATATCTGTAATTCTCATTACTTGGAAAGCTGCGAGACGGGAGAAAGGTAAAGAAAGGGTCTTGCCGAACCGAAAAGCTGGCAACCCCTTTCTTGACTCATAACTAGGCAAAGTAGTGCACACTTGTTATGCTAAGCTACGTGGGAGGCAGAAAAGTCTGCAAGATTCCATCTTAAGAAGGAGAACCTGGATATGGTGGTGGGGGGGTGATGGTGGGGAGGGGAGGGAAGGCCTATCATACCAGCAATAGTAAGGAAGCATAAAATAGGTAGATTGAGGTCTAATCGTGAGTTTAGCAGGAATTGAGACCCTAATCTCAAAAATAAGCAGCAAATGAAGAAACAAACAGGGCTGGAGATGTGGCTCAGTGATAGAATTCCTACTTAGCAACCTCATGGTCCTGAGTTCAAAACTCCATGTCACCAAAAAGAAAAAAGAAAAAAAGAGACAAAAATTGGGTTGAGGATGTTTAGTGGTACAGAGTTTTTTTTTAGAATTTGTGTGGCCTTGGGCTTAATCCGTAACACTTGAAAAAAATATTTAACTGTTTATTGTGGCTTATAGTTTTGAAGGTTTCAGCTCATGATCATCTTTCTTTTGGACCTCTGGTGGGGAACAACAGCAGGACAGAAGGATATGGAGAGCAAAACCACTCACCCCAGGGACCAGAAGAGGAGGAGAGAGGGAAAGACTAAGCTCTGTCAGTCTAAGGAGTGAGCCCTCAGAGACTCAAAAACCTCCTCCTACAACCTCCTCAAGGTGCCAGGCTCAGGATCAAGGCTGTAATGTGGACCCTGTAGGAGTTCCACATCCAAACTGCAGCAGCAATTTTGGTTGATAGAGCCAAACTGCCCTCCAGTAAAGGTTTACAATACTATCAAAATATGAGAGATTTTGTATACTTTCCTAGATTCAGTTGATATCATTTGAGGTTCTTTTATTACCTTACATGAATGATCAGATTCTTGACTAAGGAGATCCATCACCAGTGAGGCTAAACACCAGAGGAACAAGGTTTATGGTAGAGCATACATATAGTTTGGTAGATGAAGTACAAGGAATTGTGAAGAAACAATGGACACACAGATACCCATCACCAGTGTTAAAATCCTCCACTGTGGCATTTGGGAGGCTGGGAAGTGGGATGCAGTGGTACAGGAAAAGATGATAGAATTGGAAAGGATGATTAACATAGCTGAGGCAAATAGGAATATGGCACACACTAGCTTTCTGATCCATATGTCTTAGAATTTTAGAGATATATGGGACATTCAGAAGAAGCAGGTGGCCACTTCCTGCGCCAGAACAAAATCCAGATGGGTCACTTGTACGAGAATGCATTATTTTTATGTTCTCAATTAGGGGGAAGGCCTTTGCAAGATGACAAAAAAATTCATAAAGAAAAAGATTGACAATTTGTGCTGCAACCTATAAACTATGTAAAAGCAAGCACAGGTTGGGGTAAAAAGCTGAAAAATAAATGACAGGACAAAAATTAATTTACAAAGAGCTTTTAAGTTAAAAAAATTGAAACCATAAGCTATCCCATAAATATTGAAAATACAGAGTATATTAAATAAAATAAAAAATAGCAGCAGTCAACAAACATGAAATTATCTTAAGTCTCCATAATAATAAAGTCATACCAATAAAACAATACTTCATATTTTATACACATCACTAAATAACAAGTGAAGCTTGGCCAAATCTGATGTTGATGTTAAAGAAGAATAGGTCATTAGCTTTTCTCTCTTTCTGGAAAGCAGTTAAGAATAACATCTATCAAATTCTAAAATAAATCATCTATTTTAAATGTTCTTCATCAGATTTGTAATAGATTTAAATATACTATTGAGAGAAAAATCTGTAAACAAACTATTTGGTTGGTAAATATCCCATGTATTTCCTTAAATTAGGAAGTAATGTTTTATACATGCAATTACAACATTAATGGAGGGCAGTTTTATAACATTGAAGTTGTAAACTCCATGCTTTTGTATACGATTAAGTTACAATGTGTGGTGGTATATATTTCAGATCAGAAGTATTTAATATAATTTTCTATTTGGTTATGTTTAATAGTGAACTCCAGGATTTGATCATTTCTAAATAAATAATCTTTCTTGAAGTTCATATTTGAAACTCCAGGGTTTTATTAAAAAAAATCAGATGAGGGGCTGGGAAGGTGGCTCAGTGGTAGAGCGCTTGCCTTGCATGCCTGAGGCCCTGGGTTCGATTCATCAGCACCACATAAGCAAAAAGAAAAAAGCTGGAAGTGACGCTGTGGCTCAAGTGGTAAAGCGCTAGCCTTGAGCTGAAGAGCTGAGGGACAGCGCCCAGGCCCAGAGTTCAGACCCCACAACCGGACCCAAAA